GGGTCTGAAAACAAGAACATTTTCTACCATAATTTCTCAAAACCAACAAACGAAACAACGTCCAACTTTATTGCTAACCGTAATGAGGATTACATCACCTATATGTCTATATATATATATATTATATATTATATATATACATGCACGACGCACTCACAGATGGGTCGTCATTTATTATTCTCTATCAATTCCAGTTTGACAATCCGTACTGTTGTAAACAACAGTCGATATACCTACGTTTTGTCACGTCGTCGACGTACGCTCGATTATGACTAACCTTCTGGTGGTTGGGGAGGGTGAATGATACACCGACCCGCCCACCTAGCTAGCGTCTCCGGTAACTGTTATACGCACGCCCGTCGGTTTAGAGTCGTTCGTTGACGGCGTAAAAGTTGAGTAGTGCTGCGTGACGGCGATGTTTCGTACCATTTGCACGCAAGCGGTGGCTGCGGCGGCGGTGGCGGCGGCCGTCGAAAGGAAAGGGGTCCACCACAGCGGTAGAAATGAACAGGCTGGAACCGGACCGCCGCCGAAGCCCGTCACCGTCATTCACGTCGATATATATATATATATACATATATAGTGTACCCTTTTGCCGTCCGCAAAGGAGTCGGGCGGATTTTCTAGCGTCTGGTACCTACACGGGAATGAGTGACAGTTTTAAAGGAAAAAACATAGGTATACTACTATGAGAAAAGGAAAAATCGCTCAGAAATCCTCGTCCTAGTTCGTCATCTGTATATCCATCGTATTACGATATATAATATTATACAGCATATTAAAGTACACGCAGACCGACCGATCGCTTGTCCGCCGCACTACTCGCGCGCGTGTTTATTGTGTTAACGCGAAAGTGAGAGTTTGGGTTCCTTCCGGTTTCGGCCGTCCGTAAGAGAACAAAATAAAATACTATGATTTACGCCAGTAGGATTCAATTTGGATTACCATCATGTACGGTAAGTGCAATGCGTGTTCTCATAATATTACTCTAAAACATTATTGCCACAGTAGACAACAATCGGTCGAACGACTTACACAATCTACGGCTAGTTTAAGTTCTTATACGCTTGCATATTTCTTACCTACTGATTTTATATGATTTTCTCCGCGAATATGATAGATTGTAAAAAAACGAATCCATGTGAAGGAGCAATCTATTAGTAAGATCAAAATTTAAAATATTGTTTTTTTTTTTTTTTTTGACACCGAATTTCCTGTTTAAAACGCATTCGTTTATTATACATAATAGAAGGACATTACAAGAAAAGACAAATGGTCTTACCTATATTTCAGGGAACAATAACGTGACTTTAATGGAAAGTTGTCTATATTATGCCTGTTGCAGTGCTAGACTAAATACATGATACTATTCAATTCTTCATTTAGATAATCTGCATGCAAATTAATATATGCTTTAATTCTAAATAATTCATTTAATTTCTTTTGAAAAATAATGAAGATAAACGAGAAATGTTGGTGAAGTTTATAACATTATTAATAACATTTATTATAAATAATATTTTACTATCAAAAGATTACAACGATAGTTTAGTTTATTAAACTCAATTTCTCTAAAATCAATATTTAAACAACATTACTGTGTGTATGGAATTCTCAATTAATATCGTACTAGGTATCTTTAATTTATTGGTAGGTACTCATAAAACGTTTAAAATGTAAACGGCCTTTAAATTTGATTCAAATATATAATATTATATCAAGCGTTACTGTTACGTATATGAATACATACCTAGATATATTTGCATGGTAACATATTTACGCCGATTATATTTTCTATATACTTTCGCGTGTCTAACACGGGGCATGTATAAATATATATATATATATGTACTAAATAGTTATACCCTTAGCTAATTATTAATTTGTCATTAAAAACGTCGAACTATTGACTGTAACATTCTTAACAAATCTCGCTATCGTTAGGTACGAACCGATAAGATTATAATATTTCGACCTCTCGACGGTTGGTCGGACGATATTTTATTCGGTGTGTGTAGGTGAGTCGACGTCGCCGTCCAGTGATTTCGAAAACGAAAGTGAATAGTATTTGAATACGGTCTGGCTATTCTATACCACTGCCGTCGCTGTAGTGAATAGAATACAGTCAGAACCTTTTTTAATCACATCGGTGGCCTTGTAATACATATACATTATGTTCTATAACGATTTTTGAAGTCAAACGAAATATATAGAGATCTATGTATACATATATAATATACCTATATATATTATGTATGATTTATAATGATATGTATGTGATTTACTTATGTCAAACGCTCTGATGATTATAATTTTGGGTATATATTATAGTTATGACGACAATGTTACGTTCGCGTAGGATAAAAACCTCGAGACCTTATAGGTTTTGGAAGTCCTTCGGGCTTAGGTCATCCTCAAGAACTTAACGGCACGTTAAACGTGTTTTAATGTCGAAACGATATTACTCCCAACGTGTCACCTTAAAAGCGCCTCTCGGCCTTAATGTGTGTTCTTGAGAAAACTTCGAACTATTTGGATGGTGCTATAACATTATGAGTTCGGAGTCGGTCTATACAAATGAATGCATAGAAAAAAATGAAACACGAAAATACTTTTTAACGGATTCAAGAAGAAACAAAATCATGATCACAAAAATTCGTTCATATTGCATACTATACTATTAAGAATTAATAACTTTTGAACTTTGTTATAGTGTCACAAGGATATAAATTTTGAATATAGTAATATAGTCATATTAAACTACGTTTATATTTTACGTACAGATTATGATACACGCGCGTATAGTCATAAAGCAAACATAGTTTGTGCAGTTTAAATACATCATTACGAATCAATTTAACTACACATTACAACATCGTAATAATATAATGTCTTGAATTTTAAGATTCTCGCGTCATCCAAAGTGATGCGATAAAATTCGGATAATATCCGACGGTCTGTCGCACAGACAACAACAAAAAACACGCGCCACTACTTCTACATAATGATATGTACACTATCTAATCACCCGTTGTGTTGACCTAATTCTAAATTCGATTGCAACATCGCGTGGTACAATGCCGCGGAAATAAAAACGTGTCTAAGAGGTGTATTCACATTTAAAATATGAAAAAAAAACATATAAACCACAATTATAATATAATATGTGTTCGTGGCTTTTATTCGTGAAAAAAAAACGCGCGTTTAAAAAGAGTAAAGACACATTATAGTTTTATTATTTATCATTTATCACACATGATAAAATACGTGCTATCGCTCGCATCAAATCTATTAATGGATCAAGTCCACGTGTTGGAGATACATATATTATATATCAGTTCATCAAGTATAGTTATGAATTTATGAGTTTTCACTTAAGCCATAATAATAAGTAGTTCTAATCTATAAATTATGGCCTCGATATAATAGACACTCATAAGAAGATAATTGTGATAATGTGACCCATAACTATTATTGACGTCAATTTTTTTTTTAATTGGTCTATATAGTTCAGAGAAATGCAAAGAAAAATTCCCTATCGATCAATATTATATATGTATACATAGTTTTACCGATTAAGTGCAAACAATTTTATACACAAATCCGTTCGTCTTGGTCTTCAATTTATGATCACCGTTGCATCATGAGTAGTTATATGAACGCTGTTTTCCTAAAATTGAATATATTAAAAATCATTTAAGGAAAATCATAGTGAAGGAAATATTTAAATAATCTTTTAAGAAATGAATATTGAAAAATTACCGCAGTCAAATTGGGTTTTCACACGCGATCCTTTTAACATTGACTGTAAAAACGGTGCCCTTTAAATGTATTTTCTATAAGACTATGTTGTTGTTTCTTTTTTACATACAATACGTAGTCTAAAATCGCCATTACATTTAACTCAATTATTTGGTTAAATAAAAGCATACTTAAGATTTGTGTATACACACTACACACTGTAAACGATATTTATAATCTATGGACCAAAACATTACTTACGCCAGATAAGTACTGAAAACCATCCCGAATTTTACACATAATTTTTACAAGGTTGATAAGTATATACTTAGTTGCTAAACTATCTTAGAATTTTTCCTGTGTATAGTTCTCCTGCTATGGTTTAATCTAGTCTTAGTATAGTTTAATCACATTCATGATTTGACGACTGATATGAATATCGCACTGGCACTATATACGTAAGACATATTATATTTTGTATGAATTGTGTTTTTGTGCAATACCTAATCAATCGCATAATGTTGTTAGTTGATGATCATGATTACTCGATCTGGTATCTACAGGCTTTGTGGTGGCGATGTCACTCGCATTACCGATTTAGTAAGGTCATATCAACACTTTGCAACTAGTTGCCCCGAATAGTTCGGGAAACTTTTTCCTATGACCAGTATTCAAGTGAGCTACAAGCACACTACATAATATGATAAAACATTTGGGTGGTGAACGAATATAAATGTCATCATATACAACTTTGTATAAAATACCGAATTTCAGTATTATTATTATTATTGTTATTATTATTATAGAACCTTTTCATCGAGCCTTACACAAATGATATTTGTTAAATTTAATCTATAGCACACATAATATTATAACATAAAATACATACTTTATAGTTATATTTATATTTTAAATTGACTTATTGGTGTTTGTTTGTTGGGTAGAGCATTCAAATTTTATTATAGTCTACTCTAAAACTAGATAGTCTAGATATATTATTTTAGGTTCGAGCACTAAACTAAATTTACTGATTCAATTATTCACGCATTGCTCTATTTACAACCGAAAGATCTGTCAAAATCGCATGGTTTGTTTCATCATCTAAATCTAATCTAACCTAGATATTTGACATTCGTTAAGTATACCTACACAAGTAATGTATGTTCCTTTAATCCTGTTAGAACCTGCATTACACAACGTTTATAGTATTATAAATAAATCGATAATATTTTATTGGAAATAGTTACGGCGGTTGTAACTTGTAAGTACATGATATGTTATACTTATAGATAGGAGCCGTGTGTACAGAAATTGGGATCCGGGCGAATTCACACCAATACCCCCACATCCTACCAATACATTGTATTTGATAGGTCTTGATAATATAATATATAGTCACCATAGTACAATAGTGTTGTGAGACATAGTCCCAGTTGTTTTCTTTCCTTTTTTTTTTTGTATAAATTCAAAATCGATGATGGACATTTTGTGGGAAATTGTATCACGATATTTTATTGTTATGAATTATATGATGCATATTATATTATACAAACACAGTGTGATTATCCATTCAATACGTAATAATATCCGATATTGAACTGATAATATGAAGATATACGCGTTAACCGATCGGTTCTTAAGTGCTTTCGGTGTCATAAATTATTATTTACGTGGTATATTGCATTGTTCGAAAAATGTATTTTTGAATCACATATCGCACTTATTCCATACATTGTCAATAATTATTTATCAAAACATTATTTTTTCTGACCTATAATATTTTATTTTAGGAATTAAAAGCTTTAAAAAAAAAGAATAAGTATTCCTATAGGTATTATACAATCATAAAATTAACAGTAAAAACTTAGTTTCAGTGGTTTCAAAGCATTTTTTTCTTTTTCGATATTAGTAAATCATTTCTAATTTTATCATACCTGAGATATATTAAATAATAATATTTACATTAAAAAAAAAATGTTTAAAAGCCATATATAACTTATAATATAAGTTTTGTACATAGGTCTTTGTTCATGTATATAATAATTATATTATACACGTGTGGAGCTGCAGTACTGCAATCTCTTGTTTTACAATAATTAATATCGTCAACAGTTAGGCATAGTCGTGTTGTCCATCAAGTACACCTAGTCTAAGTACACATAATATTACGTAAGTATAAGAATTCTGAATTTTTTCCCTATAACATTATAAACTT